CGATACCCCAAAAATTTGAGATGATGCTGAAAATGGTGAAGATTTATGAAGGTTTAGAGGTCGTTTGTATGAAAATTTTGGTAAATTACTCTGGGAAATTATTGGGTCGCACTTACATTGCTCTAGGGTCCAGGAGTGGGGCTGCCTCCCTGGCATCTTTAGCATTGGTGCTCAGCACGGAAAACAAGGTCGACGAAAAACAAATCAAGGAAAAATACACTCTTTGGTCATTTGTGGCTTGTCCGGGGTAATATTAGAACTAGTGACTTTGGCGTGAGAGGTATAGATATTAATTACTACGCCTGTATTGTACTGCATAAAAACCGAATACTTCATCATTTCTCAATAGTGATGGAGTAATATGACATGCACTAAACTAAGGACACGGGATATACTACAATAGATCAAAAAACCACTACGACTAAAAACTGATGCAACGTTTTTGCTGGCATCCCTTGAATATCCTATATTTTTACGTCCCAGGTCGGAATTCAAACTTACGAGCTTCAGTTTAGAAGAACAACTTCATAATCAAAACTATTAAATATTAAAATTTAACATGTGATTCTTCTTCTCATTGCTTATCGCATATAAGCTCATTGTGTGCGCTCAACTTATTTAGTTTTCTAGATGCACTTCCACAGTTATTAATTGAGAGCTTTCGATGCCTGTACCATTTTTGTATTAGTATTTATTACGTGGAAAGTACAATCATACTCTATGCCCAGGGAAGTCGAGCAATTTTCCAACCCAAAAAATCCCTAGACTGGATCCGGTAATCGAACCCAGCCACCTCCACAAACATTGACCCGCGCCTGGAGAGATACAGGATTCGAAGCAGTCCTGAAAAATCTCGACAATACACGGCGATATTCAAAATTCTGCTTTGGTCACTCATTTGAGCTAACAGTCGTCGTCAAGGTAAACCATGTCAATTGTCAGTGATAATGCTGTCAGTGACGAACATGTGCAGATTATGTTATCTGCTAAATTTGTAACGAAATTAAATGACTTGAGCAAAACAAATATATGGAGCCGTTAAAGTGAACAAAAATCTCTGTTCTGAACTGATTGGATAACAATAATGTGACACAGAATGCACAAAATTACACTTTTTGTTACCAGGTGAAACTTTGTCATTGACGAAAAAATGAATGAGATTTTGACAAAGGTTTTTTGAGGATGAAGTCTGTCAGTGACTATGTGAAAAATAATTTTGTCAATATCGCGCGAAAGTTTGTCAATGACAATGACTAGTCTCAGCACTGATTCGAACTTTATTATCAGAACCTATCGAGCATTCCGGAAGCGTGTTGACGCCGTCATTGCGGCAAATGGAAATTCTATCCATGATTAACATAGGTTTAAGGTCTAACAAACATATCTCTTTTGAATAAATTACATTTGCAACTGTCATCTTCATCATGTTCATTGAATCATTTTCAGAATTCCCATTGGATTCTCCTTCTTCGCTTGGAATTCTACTTACAAGTACCTTGGAGTACTCCTTAGAATTCACTTTCAGTTCTCCTTACAAATCCATTAGAAAAGTCTCCGAAAATTATTCTGCAGTTTTAGCCAGAAATCTCTTTGGAATTGCCTTAGAATGCTCCACTGAATTCTCTTGTAAATTTACATTGAATCGCACTCAGGATTCCCTTGAGATTATACCTAGGACTACCTTGGAGTTCTCCTTACGTTTCACGTGGAATCTGGAGTTCCTGAAACTCATTTGAAAATAATCCTCAGATTTCACATTCCTAAAATGTCATACTATGATATTTTCACCTGAATTCCCATGATATTATTCTCAGATAGATGCATAAGTTTTGAAACATTTGGAAGGACTTTAATTTATTTGAAATCTGGACTGCAGTAATATTGAATATTGAATGTTTATTTTCGTCCCGGATTCTAGAAAATATCACCAAGTTTTATTTCATTACGTCCAATCAGGGCTGTCTTGCATCAACGTAGAGAGAGCAAAGTCAGTGATGAAAAATATTGTATTACTATCTTCGTCGCACTCCAAGCAGCGCATGACAAACTCCGTATGAAGACAGTCCTCTTTAATTTACGTCGTGAAAAAAAAGCTAGCTCAGTACGTTCTCTCTCTCTCTTAGATCGGTCGGTTACTCGGAGAGGATTGAAAACTGAACGTTTTAGTCAGCGTTACGTATTGTTTGACAAAAAATGATGATCGTTGAAAGCAACACAAAAAACTTAAAATAGGTACAAAACGGATTCGAACCACCACCGTTGAGATTAATAGGCTTGTGTCTTCACCACTGGTCTATCACTGGTGTGGTTACTAGTCTGCTCACATGCACGTTCGACGGTATTTGCTTTTTTTTGGTCCATGCATGATACAAAAAAGAGAAGTGAAGATAAAAGATGCGATAGGATTTGTTCAAAGGCATTACTGTCGGCTTCTCTTCGTCAATGACGAAGGATGTATGGAAATGATGGTTTTTGTACCGCGATAATTTATTTTTGGTTTTCATCAAACGTCACTGACCAAACCGACCGTTACCAACTCTGCGTCCAATATTTCAAAAGATTGTCTAAGCTTAAAATCTGTAGAAATTATCCATGATTCAGAACCTTCAATTCTAGCCTAATAATTTATGTTGTTGCTGAATATTAATCCACGCCATAATTATTATGCTCAAAGAGTAATAGTAGCTAACGAGGGCGATGAAGTTGGTTGATTGTATTATCAAAATAATTAAAAATTTCTGAGAAGAATCTCTGGCGTATTTCAATATGTTCACTTCATAGAGATTAGCTTGACAATGAAATTTTAAAATTCATTGAGGATTCTAGTTTTTCCACAGATAAAATAAAATTCCTAGACGATTCCAGGTTTAAAGATTTTTGCAGCTTTTTACTGGGATTAGACAATTTTGGTTTACCCTTCATGACCACGGTTGTTAATCGATAACCGTCGATTACGTCTGCATTAACGTCTGCAATGCAAATTCATCAAATTCATGGCCATACTTTTCAGCATTTTGGTCGACACCTAAGATGCGCAGTTCAATGCCATAGGATTTTAAGCAATGTTGGCCATAGAACACCTATCAGATTTTATCATGCAACATTCACACTTAAAAATTATTACCGACTTGCTAATTTTTCACCGAATTTACAACAGCTGAACGTTCGGTAAAACTTTGGCCCTCATTTCAAAATCTGATTCACTAAAATTTCAATTTCAAAACACTGTCAGTCTCAGAGTTGGTTTGAAATGCTATCTAACATGAAGATTTAGTGTGATAATTATAAGCTATAGGCAAGGTTGCAAATACTCATTTCAGCTAAAACAATTTTTTTAATGAAATAATTAGATGCTATGATCATATTTTGAATAGGTAAGATACAAGAAGAGGTTGCAAATAATGTGTTTGACATATTAAACCTGTTTATTTCACTTCATGAGAGTCACAATCAGCGATTTTTCACACAATAACTCACTCACTCACTCAGTGATCAGCAAATCGCTGATTGTGACTCATAGAAAGCAAAATTTACAGGTTTCCATCTTTTGGTTTTATTGTTCCGAAAAACATTATTATAACTGAAATGAGTATTTTCAACCTTGGCTAGAGAATGGTCTTTAGGAGAGGGTAGGTAGATAGTTCCGTTAGAGTACGGCAGTATGAAAATTGAATAGAAGTTGAAAATGAGCGAAGGGCCATTAATACGACAGTACAAAGTCAAACGCACACCTTTCGCCTAACCCGTACGATGTACGCGGAGATTTGAAGTATGTCTTCAAATCTACAGGCAAAAAGTGTGCGCCCGCATTTGCTCATTACTGTCTGTGACTGTGGAATAGTTCTAGCGACGTTTCATCACTACCTAAAGCCCCAAGTTGCCGAGAGCATTTCCAGTCGATGGTGTGTTATAATGCAATTCTTCTTGACGCAACTATTGTGTTGCTCCTCTCGTCATGACCAACGTGGTCATCTCAGAGAGAAAGCAGTAGTCAGCCTTGTTTAAATAATCGAGTCTTGCCATTGTGGTTAAGTTTTCCTTGTTTTGAAGCCTTAAAACTAATGAATTAAAATACCTGGTTTTCTCAGCTGTTGAAAGTTCGGTATAAATGACCGAAGTCGATTATCATTTCTATGTGTGTACACTTCATGATTTTGAAAACCATAGATGCCATATTCAAATTCCCAAATTTTTAGACAATATTGGTCATATTTTAGACATTATCAAACGGATCTGGAGAACAGTAAATTGGCTCAGATTATTAAAAAAAAACACATTTAATCATGAACAGAACATTATAACCTTTATGATTTCTAAAACAATTCAAATGTGTTTTTTAGTAGTATTGGACATTTTTGAACATCTGAAACTGCTTCGAAGACCTTGAATGTAGTAATATATTCAATTAACTCAGTGTTTCAAGAGCTTTAAAGTACCCTAGATCGTTTCAAAATGTTTCAACGGATCGTTGTTACTGAACTGCGATAATAGTGTATATTGGCTGCCCAACACTACCCAGCTACCACTATTCTTCACTCTCCTATCATACCACTCTGCACCGCCGGCCTAGCAGGAAACAGACCGAACGGCTTTCAAAATGTCTTGATATTAAACGAATTGGACGCAACATCGTTGCTGCCGCTTTTCGCATTGCGATTCTTACGCAATAAATATGCACAAGTAAAAGCCATGCTCCGATGCACGCTGCCACTATGCCAGCACTGCAGCAAGCAGCAGCCGGTGATCCTTGAACATTATGCTATATGCCACTATCAGAAGGAAAGAGTCAGCCGAACGTCGTACGTCTAGAAGTTTTTATTTTCCACATATTTGACCTAAAAACTTGTTCCTTTTCGTTACTCTACTTTCGCCGCATTTGCAACGTCCGTTCACAGTATTATAGCCATTGAACTACACCGCGTGCAAGAGTTATACGCTTATTGATTGCTGCAGTGGTGGAAAAAAAATCTTCCTATCCTATACCATAATATCGCACTTACCTCTCGTCCTCCAGCAGGGGTTGGACCAGCGATGCTCTCAGGCGTACCACTTTCATGCTCTGCATCGGAAACAGCTTGCAGAACGGTCCCAGGAACTTTGGTTCGTAGCAAAAGTGCGGAAACAGTCGACAGTGCCGCCACAGCCGCGTGTTATGACTGAACAGGTAGTTGTGCGACCTGCCAAAGTCCAGATAACTTTCCATCTCGTTGTAATCGCACTTAAGTAGGTGTTTTAAGTTGTGGATCGCAATGCGATCGTTCGGCGGTCCCCGAATCTGAACGATATCGAAATCCAACAGCGGCTCGTAGTGATAGTAGTTACCGGGCAATGCGTTCAGAATATCTCCCAGAAACGTGGACCCCGAACGCCACGTGGTAATGATTATACTCCGCACCGGTTGGCCATCGGTTTCCGGCGTGAGCTCCGACAGCTTGGAAGCATCATTATTGTACAGGCCATTCGGATACTCAAACTCGGACATTTCGTCCGCTATCCGGGAACGCTGATAGTTGAGGATGTCCTCGATGGTGACGGTGGAATTCTGTGGCGTTGGAATTGGCGGGAACGTGTCGTACGATGAACTCCCGCTGAATGATTTCGCGCTGCAAGCATAGCCAGAAGGAGAACAAATGTTCGTTAGTACATAATCAACGTTTTCGCTACTATGAATGGGTCGCAGTGCACAGAGAAAGAGTGCTCTAACTGTTAAATCTTATCATTAGAAGCACCCACGCCAAATGGCAACGCAGAAATCGGAACGGAGCTATCCAGTGAGCGCGGTTATATTTTTGCATATTGTTTTGTCTTGTGGGGAGGGTGATTACTTTATTTTGGATACCATATGAACGGTAATTGAGGAAGTTCATATTATACATAAAGCCGTATGCATTGCTTTAGCATACAATAGTAAGTCGTTTGATTATCAAACTATGGACATTTGGGTGGGTCAAATGTTTTAAAGTGGATTACAGCCCCTCTTCCCCAGAATTCCTTCGATTTGCATTGCGGTCCCTAACAACTGTGTCATATTTGAATGAATTTGGTTCCGATTTGGATTTGCGGGAGAACTTTAGAGTAAGAATAGGAAACAGAAAGAAAATATTTATTTACTTATCATAAACTCCCACATAGCTCAATTTTGCTCATATCCAGAACCGTACTCAGTAGGTGACGAATGTGGCCTTTGTCACGAAAACATCCCTAAGGGGTGGAAAAACAGCTTGTGTGCCATTTGATGAATTTTCACTTAACTGACAACAATTTGACTGATGGTTTTTTTTAAAACAACCCTGCTATTCCACCGGACTTATCTCTGCCAGACTCCTATTCGAAGATCGGTCCATCATCAACAGAGGGACTTTCGAACATTTTTATTTATTTTCGAAGTGACATTTTTAAGTAAAAATTCACCAAATGGAACACAGCGTAAATACAGACGGTATAGTAAACGCAGGCTGGCGAATATAAATTTCATTAAACTAGCAGCACTGATATTTTTGCATTCCTTACCTGCAACTGCCTGAAGCAATTGCAAGTGTTCACTATGTCTGTATGTACAGAATTACTCGTTTTTTGATGTCTTGAAGTGGTTAAGACTAGAGTTCTGATGCATGGTCATTATCGGTGTCATTCCTTAATTTTGTTGCTAAGGAATCCAATTTTGACAGACAGAGGGGCGCGCCTTTGGAGGGTGTTTTTTTTTTTTTTTTTTTTTTTTATTATAGTCACTTTAACACTCTTGGGTCATTCGTGACTTGTCCGGGGTGAGATTTGAACTCGTGACTTTGGCGTGAGAGGTATGGATGTTAACCACTACGCCGGGTCGCCCCCTGGAGGGAGTTTCAATACTCCGAAGGGGACCTTTCAATTAGAGTCGGATCCTTGCGGTAAATGCAAGAATGACAACTGTAACAAAATCGAATACTTCATCATTTTTCAATAGTGATGGAGTAATACGACATGCGCTAAACTAAGGACACGGGCTATACTACAGTAGATTAAATTACTGGTCGCAGTAGTGTTAGGTCCCGAACAGAGGAAAAAAAAGGAAAAACTAAACCTTTAGTTGAATATGTAAATCCACCATTATTAGAGTAAAAGTTCCATACCTCAGCTATAGAAACTCCACCAGTACACCTACCTATAGAAATCCCTTCACATTTTTTAGATTTATAAGTTTCAAATGCTAGCTGAAATGCTTTGAGACCATGCTGCACGGAGTGTGTTGATTACGATTACGATAATTAAAATTTAATATTTGGTATTGCGTATAAATCCCTCCCCTTGGCTAGTTTTTTAACCTGGACGTTGGTGGGCGGGCCTAATCTTATGCTTCATAATGGAGCGTTGGAGACGGTTGGTTTAGGTCCGGCATCGTTGGCTCATACCGTAACAGAATAGCGTCATGAGCATGCGATGAGGATTACTGAGCTTCCCCTCTCTGATGAACCATTGCATAAGAGAACCAAAGTTCTAGCCTGAAGTGATAGTATCACACTTGTTACTCCTTTATTTGAAAGCCGCGTTGTAGGCACTGACGTTGGGTGCGATACTGGCGGGTTTTGCCGCAAATCACTCTTATTTTATTTATTTTTACGCAGATAGATTTATTTGGGTTTGCAAGGGAATTATACTATTGAAATATTTCAGAAAGTGCCCAACGGTGCTCCTTCTATTTGCTTGACAAGCTTTCATTGTTGTTTTCATTGAATCATTACTCAGGAAACAATATTAAACACCACCATTGTAACTAATCTTATATATGCTTCATTTTGGTTTGGGATAAATGTTTGAACTATGGCTCGGGATTTCCACTGTGGCGTGCTTCTATTGTGACATATCCATACGTAATGTTGTGGGACGCCATAGTGGAAACGTGTGAGTGTAGTTGGAGCATATACCTTATATAATTTAAAAATCAGCTAGGAAACTAATTTCAAAGCATTTTAGTCACATGAAGGTGTCACCTGGGACGAACTAATATATATTAAATATAGGTCAAAGTCAAAAACAACTTGAAACACGTTAAATTTTAGATTACATTCACAAGTGCAGGTACTTAATAAAGCATGGTAGGTAGATTAGAGATTTCAATTATTTATTAAATTAGGCTAGAGATATCATAATCATCAAACGAACTTAAATAAGAAAATTTAGACAGCCTAGTAGCATTAAGTGGATTAACAGAAGAGTTAGGATGCGGAGGGTCCGCTTAGGGAGGCAACTAGCCTTTAAAACAACTGGAAACTAGCCTTTTCATGTATTGTCTATTTATTTTGATTATTGCTTTAAAATATCAATTTGGTATATATGTGAAAGGATGAATCAGTGGGAGATGGATTTTCGGTTTCTTTACATTTAGCATCACTATGTGTCATTTCCTCAAAACCCCCCAATAACCGGCCTCTTCAATCTCTTCCTTTTCCCATAGCGTTCAAGTGGTCCGCATAGACTATTCAGCCATTACCCGTCCTTTATCCTCGGCTTTGGATTGACTTGCGCTCCCATTGCCCCACCAAACGCTGCAAAATGAAAATGAAAATGAAATGGTATTGCGTATAAATATTACAACCAATATACGGATCCAATACGGCGAATATGAATAACAATTTTTGACAGCCTTTTTTTGAAAATATTTTCTAATGTTCTACGAAACCCATGCGCCTTATCTATGGTCTTATTGCACCAAAGAATACCTTAACCTTTTAGAGGGCACGCTATATTTTGAATATAGCCAAGAAGCTCTAGATTTGTTACTTGGGTAGTGTACTGAGTACACGCGTTTTGGAAAAAAGCAAAAAAAAAATCATGGACTTTCATTAAAATTGGTCCGGGTTTTGGTTGTATTCGAAAATCTAATCTTCTTCTTGCTAGTAGTGAAGAAAAAATCGAAAAAACCATAGAAAAGTAGTTGAAAATCCTATGTTTCAATAGCACGGTTTTGAGCGTGTGCTGAGTACACCAGTGCGACTGCTTATGTCCAAGAATAAAAAAGTCACGTCAGCAGTCGGGTCGTGTACTGAGTACATGGTGAATAAATTTCATTTATAGTTCTTCAACTATAGCATGAGCATGAGCCTGATTGACCGCCCACGGTGGCTACTCTGTTATTGCCAGATCAGCTGTAATTACACAGAGAACCAATAGACGATGCTTGAGACTAGCAATTATCCTCAATGTGTACAAACTGGTGATCTCATACTAGGCAATACCAGCGCCGGCCGCGCCCGAACACACGTCAAGAAAGAAATGGTTAGGAATGTGTTGTCGTGATACTCGGTTTGATGGAAGCCGAGAAATCCTCTGCACTTCCTCGAGGAATCACTGGAATGTAGGGTAAGAGGGTAGGGTTTGCAGCAGGGTTCGTTTTGGTAAACGATAAGCTGAATTGATGTACTAACGATCATATAATGCGAAGGAGCTTGGGATTGAACCCACGATCTTCTGCTGAAAACGTTTGCCACTAGGCAAACAAGCTCCTTTTTAATCATTGAGGTGCTGTTATTACCATGTAGTCATATTAACAAATAAAGCGATTGACGAATCTTGAATGTGGATGGGTCTGAGATTAGATTCATGATGTTCTGCTCAGCAAGCAAAAACGATCACTCTAAGGCCACCGAGCGCCTCATATCACATCATATATTTACTCGAGTTGTTGTAACCATTAATGAATTCAAACCTGTCACCGACGACGACAAGTTTCCCAAATACACGATAACCAAATAAAACAGCAAAAAAAGGGTTATCTTCCATTAAATTCCACTTAATTAATGTTGGTATCCTTGACAGATACGTATTTCGACTACAATGTGCAGTCTTCATCAGTGTCATTCCCACTAAAGAACTTATCAAAATCTAACCCCCTTAAGTTGTCATCTCCTAAGTAAAAAAGTCAAGATCACAGGTATAAAAATGAAACTACAACTTGTTGAATCGGAACCTACCTAACTAATAAAAACCAAAGTAAAGTAAAAGAGATAAAATCTATTCAACTTTCTAATAAGGGTACGATAACCAAGCGATTTGACCATACATTTATTTAATATGAAACCCCCTGGGACCTCGTTTTCCTATTGCAATGTCAAACTGCAATCGACGATCTTTCAACTCCGAAAACTAAAAGCTACGAAAAAGCACTTAGGCCTTCATTGAGTCCCACTTTCACGCGACGTTTGCTTTTTACGCATTTTTCAGGCTATCGTGCCTCTTACATCATAACAAGCTATGACCGACGTAACGATTGTTAAAACCCTGATTAAACAAGATATGAAAAAGAGATTACGTTCTCAAGAGCAGCCAATAATGTATCCTAAAGTGGATCAAGCGTGCACTCTATTTTTTTAAATGTTCCGGAGCGCTTCGCCCAAGATCTAACAGGTACAATTTTCTACAATAGTGGCCTGGGATAAATCGTAATGTATTTTCCCCACAACGCTCAACTATGCTCCTGCACTCGGATGCATATCTTACCGACAGTATCGCTTGTCTTATGTTCTATCTAAAACCGCAAAATAGATCACGCGCGATAAGCTTACCAATTACAATCACCATGGCGGCACCAACACAACCTCAAACAAATTTTAGAAAATTTCAAAGATCA